CGGGTGACCAAGACGGTGGTGCCAGAGGACCGACGGGTGGGTGAGTGACCGACAGTCGCACGACACAGCAGCTACCTGACCTGACCTGACCTGACCTGACCTGACCCAGTGTGGTGGGACCCAGTATGTAGTGAGTACAGACCAGAGCCCGGCTCCCTGTGGAAAGTGGCTAGAGGCGCCCCAGTGGCACCGACTGTGCGGGAAGCAATTGGCTCGTGCAGTGGGAAAGAGGTGACAACTCCGAGGTCGTGGAGGTGACTGACACCCACCAGGTTCCTAGAGAACGAGGGGGTGTAGTGACCTGTGAGAAACCCAGAGGGAGCCGCTGGACACGGGAGAGTGGTGGTGCTCTCGGCAACTACAGATCCTACGAAGGGGTCAGCCAAGGCGACAGTGACTGGGGTGTGCAGTGGCGTGAGGTCGGTGCAGTCACGAAAGAAACAGCTGGACGCTCCAGAGTCTAGGGTGAATGAAAGCCGTGCAGTCGGTGAGGTCGCACTCGAGCCAGCAACAAAGGGTAGTACTAGTCTAGTGGTGGCTGCTGCTCCCACACTAGGAACCTCTGGGGCGCCTGGACCGGAAACTACACACGCACCAAGACTGGAAACACAAGGCTCAATAGCTGTTGCAGCTCCCACGTACCGGTGTGTGTACTGGCCGGGTCGTCAGGACCCCGCTGTGGAGGTTGCTACAGGCGTTGCAGCTGAACCCGCCACTGCTGCAGCTGCGGCCACCTGTGCTGCTGCCGCTGCCACTGCTGCTACTGAGACCACTGCTGTTGCTGCGGCTGTCGCCACAACGACATGGCAAGCTAGTACGGGGGGTGGGTACGCTGGCGGTAGCCTAAGTTGCTGCTGGTGCTACTGGTGGCAGCCTAAGCTGCTGCTGGTGCGCTGGGGGGCAGCCTATACTGCTGATGGTGCAACTGATGGCACTCTAGTGCGGTGGTGAACGGTTGGGTGGGATTGAGGGCGGTTGGGAACGGTGTTGGACGGTCAGGTGGGGCTAGGAGTGGCCTAGTGCGGTTCTGGTGCTTGTGGGAGGGGTTCAGTGCGGTCGGATGCGGTTGGGAGCGATGGAGGGCAGTTCAGTGCGGTTGGGAGCGGTGAAGAACGGTCTAGGGCGGTGGGAGAAAAAAAATGGGTGGGCTGTCAACGGGCATAACGAGCGCACGGGCGGTTTCTCACGGCTGGGAGTTGTCTAGTGCGGTTGAGAGGCGGTTTAGGGTAAGTTTGGGCGGGCGGGACGGGCGGCAGCGGGCGGCAACGGGCTGCTAAGGGGTGGGGCGGTCGTACGGTTTGGCTGCGGGGCCAACAAGACGCAGGCCACGGGGCCGTTGAGCAAGGGCCTCGGGGCCAGCTACTGAAGGCCGCGGGGCCTGCTAACGCGTGGGCCGCGGGGCCTGCGTTCCGTGGTCGCGCGCGAGAAAAAAAAAAAAAAAACGTACGGGGGGGGGGGGGGTCGAACGGGCGACTGCGGTCGTACGTTTGGCCGCGGGGCCAGCTAAGCGCAGGCCACGGGGTCGTCGAGCAAAGGCCTTGAGGCCCGCTACTGAAGGCCTCGGGGCCTGCTAACGCGTGGGCCGCGGGGCCTGCATTCTACGGTCGCGCGCGAGAAAAAACGGACGGGAGGAGGGGGGGGGGGGGGGGGGGGGGGGTCGAACGGGCGACTGCGGGAAAAACGCGACGGGCTATGGGCGACGGTCGACGTGCGACGGACGACGGGTGACGCGCTACGAGGCGCGCGCTATGACGATGCGCGCGTTAGTACGAGGCGCGCGGGTGGTGGGCCCATAACTATCGAGTGAAATTTCGCCTAGGAAAAATCGGCAAGGGGAAAAATCGCCAAGGGGGAACCTCGCTCTATACCATGTTAGAATATGAGAATGAATGACTAGAATGAGCAAGTACAAGGGTAGATATAGCAAACCTAACCCGAGCACTAACCAATGTGTACACCACCTAGACTAAACAATACAAACTATAACAATTATAGTTTGACAGAGACCCCCCCTGGTTTTCCGCCTCGGCCGTCTTCGCCGCCTCCGCAGCCTGCTGCTGTGGACTCTAGAGCTGAGACTGCTGGTGCTGAGCCTGGGGGTGCTGAGACAGAGGGTGAGGGTTCTGGGGGTGCTGCGACTGGGGGTGCTGGTTCTGGGGGTGCTGCGACTGGGGGTGCTGACTCTAGGGGTGCTGTGAGTCCTAGTGGCGGTGGAGCTGTGGGTGACCCTGCTGGAGGTCCTGGAGCTGGACAGCCACCGCAGCCTGATCTACTTGAGACGCTCTCGCCGCAAGCGATTCGTGCGTGGATCGTTCGGCGAGGCAGTCCTGGTGGTGGAGGGTACGGTCTTGCTGGTGCTGGAGCTCCTAGTCCTGGAGGTACTGCTCGTACTAGAGGTGCTGCTGGTGCTGGAGGTACAGGAACTGCTAGTCCTGGAGGTACTGTAGGTGCTGCTGGTGTTGGAGGTGCCGGTGCTACTGGTGCTGGAGGTGCCGGTGCTACTGGTGCTGGAGGTGCTGGACCTACTAGTCCTGGAGGTACAACTGGTGCTGGAGGTGTTGGAGCTGCTGGCACTGGAGGTGCTGGTGCTGCTGGTGCTGGAGGTGCTGGATGTGCTGCTCGTGCTGGAGGAGCTGGAGCTGGAGGTACTGGAGGTGCTGGAGCTGCTGGTCTTGGAGGTGCTCGTACTGGAGGTGCTAGAGGTGCCGGAGCTGGTGGTGCTGCTAGTGCTGGAGGTGCTGGGGGTACTGGAGCTGCTGGTGCTGGAGGTGCTCGTACTAGAGGTACTGGAGCTACCGGAGCTGGTGGTGCTGCTCGTGCTGGAGGCGCTGGAGCTGGAGGTACTGGAGGTACTGGAGCTGCCGGTCCTGGAGGTGCTCATACTAGAGGTGCTAGAGCTCTCGGAGCAGGTGGTGCTGCTGGTGCTGGAGGTGCTGGAGGTGCTACTGGAGCTGCTGGCACTGGAGGTGCTGGAGGTACTGCTGGTGCTAGAGGTGCTGGCGCTGCCGGAGCTCGTGGTGCTGCTGGTGCAGGAGGTGCTGGAGGTGCTACTGGAGCTGCTGGTGCTGGAGGTACTGGTGCTGCTGGTGCTGGAGGAGCTGGAGCTGCTGGTCCTGCCCCGCGCCGACTGTTTTTCTGCCCGCAGCCGCAGTTGTCCCTACCGCCGCCTGACTCGGTCCTTCACCAGGTTCTTAGTCTCCCGTCTTCCACTGGCCTCACTCCACCTCTCCTGTGTCCACCGACAGACCAGTCTAAGCCACAGCTACTGCCTGGTTCCCCGCTGCCTGCTCCTGCTCCTCACTTTGAGGTGACTGAGTCCCTGACTGAGCATCGTGAGCCTGAGACTCGTAGTTCCACACCTATTCGTGCTCGTCGTGTCGCTCGTCCTCGTCCTCCTGCTGTCCCAGGCACTCACGGTATGGCACTTCGTCCTGCCTGAGCCTCCCGCGTCCTCTCTTCCGCACGTTCTTGACCCTGAGTCCGACCTTGCTCGTGCTGCCAGTCCTACTGTTACTCGACTCCTCGCTACTGTCGTCACTGACTCTGACTTTGAATCTACTGCAGCGTTTGCCCTAGTCACTGAGCCGGTCGACTTTGCAGCTAGGAGTCGTCTCGACTATGTCGCGAGTCTTGTTACTGGGTTTGAGTCTGTCTGTCCTCCGTCCGTCGGGGGTGAGCCTGCCCTTAGCAGTGACGTCCTTGAGGACAGGCAGTTTGAGCTTGAGTGTCTTGCGGTCGCTTTACCTCGTTTCGCATCCATGCTGCTTTGTCCTGAGGAAGACCTGGATGCACTTGACATCCCTACCCCGCGCTCTTACGCTGAGGTGATCACGGGTGAGTACTCCTCTCGGTGGCAGACAGCCATGGACGCAGAGATGGCTTCCAGGAAGTCCACAGGCACCTACATAGTCGATGGCATGTGGATTTTCAGTGTGAAGCGGCCGCCGGGTTCTCCGCCTGCCTTCAAGATGCGTTACGTTGCTCGAGGCTTCAGTCAGCGACAGGGGGTCGACTTCTTCCAGACCTTCTCCCACCCCGAAGATGACTACTCTTCGGGTGTTGCTGCACGTTGCAACTTTCTTGCAGGGTACCCTTCACGAGGAGATCTGGCTGCGCCGCCCACCTGGATTCACTGGGTCGTTTCCTGCGGGTACCCAGTGGAGCCTCCGGCGGCCAATCTACAGTCTCCGCCAGGCGCCCAGAGAGTGGCACGAAACACTGAGGACTACACTTGCGGCTCTTGGGTTTGCTCCTTCCTCTGCTGACCCGTCGTTGTTTCTACGCACCGACCCTACCCTGCCGCCGTTCTACGTTCTCGTGTACGTCGACGACTTGGTTTTTGCTACTGCTAACACTAAGGCGCTGGCCCTAGTGAAGGCGGAGCTGCAGGAGAGACACACCTGCACTGACCTGGGTGAGCTGCGTAGCTGTCTTGGCTTGCAGATCACCCGGGACAGAGCACGGCGCACCATCACCCTGACTCAGTCACACATGGTGCACCAGGTCCTTCGGCGCTTCGGCTTCATGTGGTCCTCATTACAACCCACTCCTCTGTCTACCAGCCACTCGCTCTCAGCTCCACCTTCGGACGAGTCCGTAGAGCTGAGTGGTCCGTACCCACTGCTTGTGGGCTTCCTCATGTACCTGATGACGTGCACTTGACCTGACCTCGCGTACCCTCTCAGCCTCCTGGCTCGCTACGTGGCTCCCGGTAGACACCGAAAGGTGCACTTTGATGCTGCGAAGAGGGTACGGCGTTACTTGTGCAGTACATCGGGCATGGGGCTTGTGCTTGGAGGACAGGGTTCAGTGGTACTCACAGGACACTCGTGAACTTCTGGATCGCCGTTGCCGTGCTCCCGCTTAGCACTGTGGAGTGCGAGCGCGGCTTTTCACGGCAAAACATCATCAAAAGCTGGCTTCGCGGGAACCTGTGCGACGCGAAGCTCGGAGAGCTGATGGCCGTCTCGCTTCTTAGCTATGAAATGGAGTGGCCAGAGTTACTGAGGAGGTGGCATGCTTCCAAGAAGCGCAAGCCAGCCAATGATGTGCTGATGGCGTCCAAGGAAAGACAAAGCAAGCGTGCAAAGAAAAGATATGCCTCAGCAGTAGCAGCAGCAACAGCATTGGCGCAGCAGAAGCAGCAGCTCGAGAAGCAGCCTTAGCAGCAGAAGCAGCTAGGCTAGATGATGAGTACCCCTGGCTTAGTCGGAAAGACAAGGCCAAAGTCCCAGAGTCTTTTGAGGAAAGTGAGGATGACAGTGACGATGACTTGAGCAGCTTTAGTGACTCTGACTAGGTTGTTTGCTAGCTACTGACTGTGACTTGGATTTCTGTAGTTAGCAGCATTGAAGACGTAGCCTACTGAAAATGTTGATAGATCTCTGTTATAGGTAGGCTATGTTTCATTTAGGAAAACTAGGTAGGACAACTGTAGAACGAAATCAGACCTTCGATAATGTTTCATCTGATGAATCAGATTGTGTGAAAGCATTCGTCTTATCAGTCAGACAACATAAACTTCGTCATCCGAGCGTCAGACGATTTTTTTTTTTTTTTTTTAATACTTTCAGACAGCCCCAAAACCTAGCGAGAGCCCTGGTGTACTGCCTTGCTATTATAACTTTGCATGTGAACTGACCTTGTGGTCGCTTGCTTGTGCTCGGATTGTGTGGTGTCCTTGAGATCCACCCTGAGCTTTGCTTTGCTTTGCTCTGTTGTCTTGCTTGACTGGTCTTGTGACCGTCTTGTTGTCCCCCACTTAGCCTATGGGGGTGTGTCAAAGTACAATCCTGTAGGCTATAGTGGGGCACTCCTTATGGGGTACAGCACTTTTAGGGTTAGTACCTGTACCCCAACTCTTGCTAATCCAATCATTCCTGCACAGTTGTTTCTGACATTCCGCTATTCTGTCGTTCAATTTCCCACACATTCATCATTTCATCGTGACTGTGCATGTGAGAGAGCGCGTTAGAGAGCGACTGAGAGAGCGCGTGAGAGAGCACGTGAGGGAGCGCGTGAGAGAGCGCGTAAGAGAGCGCGTGAGAGAGCGTGTGAGAGAGTGCGTGAGGGAGCACGTGAGAGAGCGCGTGAGAGAGCGCGTGATAGAGCGCGTGAGTGTGCACGTGAGTGTGCGCATGAGAGAGAGCGTGAGAGAGCGCATGAGAGAGTTCGTGAGAGAGCGCGTGAGAGAGCACGTGAGAAAGCACGTGAGAGAGCGCGTGAGAGGGCGCGTGAGAGAGCGCGTGAGGGAGCATGTGAGGGTGCGCATGAGTGTGCGCGTGAGTGTGCGCGTGAGTGTGCGCGTGAGAGAGGGAGTGAGTGTGCTCGTGAGTGTGCGCGTGAGAGAGCGCGTGAGTGTGCGCATGAGAAAGCGCGTGAGGGAGCGCGTGAGAGAGCGCGTGAGTGTGCGCGTGAGAAAGCGCGTGAGTGTGCGCGTGAGTGTGCGCGTGCGAGTGCGTGTGAGAGAGCGCGTGAGAGGGCGCGTGAGAGAGCGCATAAGGGAGCACGTGCGAGAGCGCGTGAGGTTGCGCGTGACTGTGCGCGTGAGAGTGCGCGTGAGAGTGCGCGTGAGAGAGTGCATGAGAGGGCGCGCGAGAGAGCGCGTGAATGGGCGCGTGAGGGAGCGCGTGAGAGAGAGCGTGAGTGTGCGCGTGAGTGAGCACGTGAGTGAGCGCATGAGAGAGCACGTGAGTGGGCGCATGAGAGGGCACGTGAGAGAGCGCGTGAGAGAGCGCGTGAGAGAGCGCGCGTGGGAGCGCGTGAAAGAGCGCGTGAGAAAGCGCGTGCAAGAGGGCGAGTGAGGGAGCGCGTGAGGGTGCGCGTGAGTATGCACGTGAGCATGCACGTGAGAGAGCGCATGACAGAGCGCGTGAAAGATCGCGTGAGTGCGCGCGAGAGAGTGCACGAGAGAGCGCGTGAGAGAGCAGGTGAGAGAGGGAGTGAGTGTGCGCATAAGAGTGCGCGTGAGAGTGCGCGTGAGAGAACGTGTGATAGTGCATGTGAGAGAGCGCGTGAGAGTGCGCGTGAGAGCGCATGAGAGAGCGCGCGAGAAATGCGTGAGGGAGCGCGTAAGAGTGTGCGCGAGAAAGTGCATAAGGGAGCGCGTGAGGGAGCGCGTGAGAGTGCGCGTGAGAGTGTGCGTGAGAGTGCGCGTGAGAGTGCACGTGAGAGCACGCATGAGAGTGCGCGTGAGACAGCGCGTGAGAGTGTGCGTGAGAGAGCGCGTGAGAGAGCACGTGAGAGAGGGAGCAGGGGCAGCGAGCAGGTGGCGTGCGTGGGGCAGCGCGACGCGGGGTAAGTGTCAATAATGAAAGTGTTGTGTTATTGATGAGGGTTGGGGTACATATAGCAAACCCTAACATTTATACCCCCTAAGACAAACCTCACTACAGGCTACAACATTTGACACACCCCCATAGCCTAAGTGAGGGGTGTCAAGCAAAACCAAAAGTGTACGGTCACAAGACCAGTCACAAAGAAACAAAGCTCAGGGTGGATCACAACATCACCACACAATCTGAGCACAAGCAACAGGGGCCACAAGGCCAGTCCAAGAGTTCACAAAGGTGTATGGCAAGAGTGCAAGCAAAGCAAACAGTAAACTCAAGCCTACACACGACTAGAACCTGTGTCAACAAGACCTAACTGCACACAACACCTCTGGTGGTCACAAGGCGGAAGCGCCTTGGTGAAGATGTCTGCAGTGTTGGCCTCGGACTCCACAAACTCGAAGCGAGCCTGTCCACGTCTCTGCAACTCACGCAGAAGAAAGTACCTGACGTTAATGTGCTTCACTGTGCTCTCCAGTCGCGGCTCTCGACAGAGGAGAATCGACGCCTTGTTGTCAGTGAACAAGGTCGGTGCAGAGCTCGGCCGCTCACCAAGGTCGGCGAGCAAGAAGGTCAACCAACGCAGCTCCTGCGCCGCCATGGCACCAGCGTAGATCTCAGCCTCAGCAGTAGAGGTCGAGACCAAAGAGGAGCGCGTGGACCTCCACGAAACAGCTCCAGAACCCAAGCTGAAACAGTAACCCTGAGTAGACCTGTGAGTCTCAGCGTCGTCAGCGTAAGAAGAGTCACACTGACCAGTGAGTACGACAGACTGCTGCACTCCAAGAACTAGCCCCACGCCTGATGTCATCGCTAGGTACTTTGCCACCCTCACAGCTGCCGTCCAGTGAACAGGACGGTGTCTCCCTGGTGCAACAAAGCGAGCAAGGATGCTGAGAGGGAAGGCGAGGTCCGGGCGAGTACAAGTCATCAGGTACATGAGGCAGCCCACCAGCTCTGCGTAGGGACCACTAGACTCAAACGGCTCGTCAGGAAAGGGTCCAGTAAGTCTGTGGTCAACAGCAAGAGGTGTGCGCTGTACTGTGGAGTGCTAAAGCTCGAACCGCTGAAGAACCTGCTGCACCATGTGTGACTGTGAGAGTGTAATGGTGCGAGCAGCTCTGTCCCTGGTGATCTGCAGGCCAAGGTAGTGGCGCAGCTCACCAAGGTCAGTGCACGTGTGTCTCTTCTGCAGTTCGGACTTCACGTCTGCCAAGGCAACCCTGTCAGCAGTGGCGAAAACCAGGTCGTCGACGTAGACCAGAAGAAAGAAAGGTGTGGAGCCACGACGGACGAACAGCGACGGGTCAGCAGAAGACGGTTGGAAACCAAGGTCAGAGAGGGTAGAACGAAGGGTGTCGTGCCACTCACGAGGAGCCTGACGGAGACCGTAGACAGGTCGCCTCAGCCTCCACTGGGTCTCAGGAGGGAAAGTGCCATTGAAGGCAGAGGGACGACGCAGCCATACCTCCTCGTGTAGGCTACCCTGAAGGAAAGCAGTGGAGAAGTCGAGAGAGTGTAACTCGTAGTCTCTCTGTGCTGCTACGTGTAGTAACACCCGAAGAGTGGTCATCTTCGGGGTAGGCGCGAAGGTCTGAAAGAAGTCAACTCCCTCGCGCTGACTAAAACCTCTAGCCACATAGCGCGCCTTGAAGACCGGAGGAGATCCCGGTGGCCGCTTCACCCTGTAGATCCACATGCCATCGACTACGTTCGCCCCAGGGGGGGGAACCTCGTCGACGTAGGTGCCTGTGGATCTGTAGGAGGCCATCTCTGCGTCCATGGCAGCTCTCCACTGAGAGGCCCAAGGCCCTGACACTGCCTCAGCGTAAGTGCGAGGAGTCGGTATGTCAAGGGCGTCGGGGTCTCCCTCAGGGGCGAGCAGCATGGCACAGAGATGAGGGGAAGCGGCTGCCAGGAACTCTAGCTCAAACTGCCTGTCCTCTAGGGCGTCACAGCCAAGGGCAGACTCACCCCCGACGGCCAGAGGACTGGTAGGAGGAGCAGCCACGAGACAAGTGGCGTAGTCAAGGCGGCGAGTAGTGACGAACTCAGAGATGGCGACAGTAAGGGCGGAGACAGAGGACAGAGAGGCACGAGGGTCCGTAACAAGAGAGGCGAGAAAACGAGGGAGAACATGTCGGTACGTGCGGTAGTAGTCAGTGACATGAGTAGAGAGGGAAGCAGTGAAGGCCGACTCAGGAGGAGAAGGAAGCACAGACTGAGACGAACGAGGCGGACTAGAACGGAACAGGGCAGTACGAAGGTCAGTGAGAGCGACAGGGGACGAGGGACGAGCACGAGGAGAGCAACGAGAGGGCCAGGCGGGCAAAGGAGGAGGAGACAACGGAGTCAGAGAACGAGGGAGAACAGCTGGAGAGGAGTCAGGAGGAGGAAACGTGGGACCGTAGACAGGAGGAGAGGGGGAGGAGGAAGGAGAGGGAGAGGGGAGACCGAGGGTCCGAAGACCAGAGACAGGAGGAGGAGGTGGCGGCTGCTGCTGCTCTTGGTGCGGCTGCGACCTCTGCTCCTCCAGCGGCGGCTGCTCCAGCTGCGACTGCTACTGCTGCTGCTCCTGCTGCTCCTCCAGCCTCTGCTGCTTCTGCTGCTCCACCTCCAGCCGCTACAACACTCTCTCCTCTCTCTCTAACTCCAGCTGCTCCTCACGGGTACGGCGAACACGAGCCTGGTGCCGGGTCGGGTAGGGGTGGGGGGGAGGAGTAGTGTCTGGGGCCGCGGCAGCCCCAGGACCACCCTCCAAAGCACCCGGCGCACCACCCCCAGAGGCAGTACCACCAACAGCAACACGGCCAGGCTCACAAGGACCCGAAGGGGGGGCACCCGCACCCCCAGACGTAGCACCCCCAGAGTCAGCACCACCGACACCAGCTCCTGAAAGACGAGAGTCTCCTGCAGCCTCGGACTCAACCCCAACTCCAGCACCCCCAGAGCTAGCACCGACAGGGTCCTCGCCATGAACACCGGCTCCCGCAGGGTCTGCCGCAGGCTGCGAGGAGGACTGCGGGGAAGGAGGCTGTACCTGAGGGGCTACCGAGGGGGGAGGGGTAGCGTGGGACACACCTGACGGGGTTGGACCAGGGGGGGGAGGCTGTACCGGGGGAGCAGGAGGGGGAGCGGAAGTCAGAAAGAGGGGGGGAGGAGGAACCGGGAGACCTCGGCAGGGGTACCTGACGTAGTAGGGGACGGACTCATCGAAACTGACGTCACGGGAGTCAAAGAACTGGTGAAGGGGAGGGTGGTAAAACGTGAAGTCAGAGGAGTCCTCTGGGAAACCAAGGAAGACACAGGGAACGGCGCGAGGCAAGATCTTGTCCGCGGAGGTGTCGCGAACTAGAGCCAAGCAACCCCAGACACGAAACCGCGACGCAACACCAGGGGACCCGGTCCAAAGACTAGTCGGTGAAACCTCTAGCCGAGAGACACGTGGCCAGAGGTTCAGCTGGTGAGCGGCGTACCTAACCGCGTAGGGCCACAGAAAATGGGGGGCACGGGCGTGAGTCAAGGAGGTGCGGGCGATCTCCATGACCAAGCCTATGCGGCGCTCAGCAACCCCATTCTGCTGTGGGGACTCCGGAAGCGTCAAGGACTGACGAATGCCCTGCTCGCGACAGAATCCAGCGAGAATGCCGGAGCGAAACTCACCCCCACGGTTGGAGTGAAGACAGCTGACTCGACGACCACGAGTGCCCTCAGTGGTAAGCAACCACCTGATCAGCGTAGAAGTCACCTCAGACTTCTTCGCAAGGGGGAACACTGTGGTGTAGCGGGAGTAGTCGTCAACGACCACCAGAAAGAAACGCTCACGCTCAGGGCCAAGGCGAGAGGCGGGGCCCCAGACGTCCAAGTGGAGCGTCTCAAAAGGCTCGGTGGCCGGACGAAGGGAGGAGAAGTGAGGGGTGGCGCGCAGCCTACCCTCGACGCAGGGACCGCACGGTGGTGCAAGCGAAGGCGGCAGCGACGGCAAGACACGTGGGAGGCCTAAGACAAGACGCTGACGAGACATAGTGCGCAGACGAGGGAGAGACGGGTGCCCCATCCGGTGGTGCCACAGAACGGTGGGGTGGGCAAGTGACCGACAGGAGCACGACGCAGCAACTGGACCAGATCGGGGCGCGTGCACATCATAGCATACATGAGTGACCCAACGAGCTCAGGATAGGGTCGCAGTTCTGAGGAGGGAGTGGGAACGGCAGGGGCAGTAAGCTGATGGTTAGCGGGAAGAGGAGTGGAAACTGGCTTAGCCTGTGACATTTCAAAGCGTTCAAGGATGGAGTGGATGTAGAAAGATTGAGAGAGAGAGATGGTGCGCGCAGTACGATCGCGACGAATCTCCATGCCAAGGTAGTGGCGAAGCTCGCCAAGATCCTTGCACAGGAGACGTGCCTGGAGGGCTAGCTTGACAGCGGTAAGGTCGGCAGAATCTTCAGCGAGGAGCACCAAGTCATCGACGTAGGCAAGAATGTAAACCCTGTAGGGGGAAGTGCGAATGAAGAGACTGGGGTCGGAAGAGGAGGTGGAGAAGCCAAGAGAGTGAAGAGTGGAGGCAAGCTTAGCATGCCACTCGCATGGGGCCTGCTTAAGACCATACACTGGGCGCTTCAACTCCCAGACAGTGCCTGGAGGGAAGGGGCGAGGAAAGCCAGCGGGGCGCTCAAGGAAAATGCGTTCATGAAGCTCGCCTTGGA